GGCGGGCCCGGGCTGGGGATTCGAACCCGCCACCTTAGGTGTATGTGGCTGGCGCCTTAGCAGCTTGAGCCACAGGCGCCGAGCCCATAAAGCATTTTTATTTCATAATTTACTATGAAAGGTAGTGTAGCATATATACATAACCAGATGCAAGAGAAGGAAAGGGTTCTGTTAAAGAGGGGTGTAGTTTCTATATTAGTGCCACTCATCAAAAGAGCTGTGACACTTGCCAACTTCTCTGTGTCTGGGTTTCCTGATGTGTAAGAAGAAATATCAGTAGCTCATTAAAATAGGATAGTGCCTAGCACTAGGGTCATGCTCAGTAAACAGTAGCTATGATTACTGATAAATGATCATCAAATACTTCCTGTTGTACTTTAAGGTCAATTTCCTTTTCCGTTCTTCCTCAAGATAAAGAATTGCTGTTTTTTTTCCTTTTATGGTTTCAAAACTTCATCAGTTGGAGGTAATACTATTGGGAAATTTTAATCTATCACATTTTCATTATAACTTATTTTTATGATATTAAAGTAACTGGAACACAGGTAATTATTTAGATACTGCTATCAACACTTACCTTTTTGTCTAGGTATGCTCTCTAGATCTGTGATTTCCCTTAAAAGATAATGGCATATTTCTTAACGTATCTAACTTAACAGCATAAATTTTAAATGCTGGACCTTTTATGTATTTATGCTTTATATTTATAAAAACATGTCTAGTACATGGGGACTGAGTTAAATTAGTTTATGTTTTTCTTTGTCCTTTAAAAAATTTTTACATAATCTGGAAAAGCAAAAGACCCCAATTCATGGATTTAAGCCTCAAAGCACTGCCATGTCAAGGCTGGCAAATTTGGGATTTCCCTGAGCAGCAGACTAAGTAAGGGATTTCTAAAAAAATTTTTTACCTAGGTTCTCTGAAGTAATTACCAGGTATGTTTCTGCATAGTGATAGGAAAAGAGAGAGAAAGAGAATCTTAACAACACAATAGGTAGGAGAACCCAAATTGAAAGAAAAGTCATTCTGGCCCTGGATCTTGAAAAGAGCTATTTGCTGGTGCTTTTTAAAATCTACTTCAATCTTTTCTCCCAACTTCAATCTTCTTCCATTTCAATCTTGTATCTTAATATCGTGCTAATTATATAATCACTTTTTTCAGCAGTTAACTTTTCTTCTTTTTGATACCTTCCCTAGAAGGTACTGACCCTCCACTTTTCCATATATTTGTTGCTTCCTATAATTTTTACTTTTTTCTTTGTGTCATTTTATATTTCTTCACATTGCCTTTCCATTTCATCTTATTCTAAATTTTCTCCTCCTTTTCATTCCTCTGCGCCACATTGTTCCTTCCCTGTAGAAATAACATTGGTACTGCAGGTACACTCCTCTTATACATTAAAACATATGTATGTTAATTAACTTTCCATACTGGTAATAACTTACTACCTCTGGGAAAAATGTCAGTTTTTTCATTATTCTATCTTCTACTATTTATTCTTTTGAATCTTTCTCCTTGTTTTTTGGGCTATGTTAAATTCTTGTAGTAGGAGTCTAAAACAGATTATAGTATGCTGATGTAGCAGAAACTAAGAAGACAAAAGCCTAACTTAGGAGTGAGAGAAAGCGGTAGGATAGGTAAAAAATGGAATTTGGTTTTAATATTGCCATAATCTTTAAGTGACAAGTGAAAATCTCATATGCTGAAGGTTCTACATACTTCCTATTGACATAAGAAGCTGTGAACCTATCAAAGTTGATCTTACAAAGTAAACTAGGTTTAAAACAATTATGTTCTTGTTTGGACTTCTTCCTTCTCTAATGCCTTTTTCAGCTAACTGAAAAGAGGAACCATATGGTTTCTTTACTTTAAGCTAAGTCACAAAAGAGGAAACATTTTTGGCTGAAGACAACTCACGACCTATATTTTCTGATGCTCCGGATAGTGGTTTCACAAAAATCAGTTTAAAAATCAAACTTTGAAGAATACCATTTTCTAACAAAGTCTTCCTTTTGGTAATATATAACTGTGGTCCCCAATCCCTGGCTGCAGACCAGTACCAGTCAGTGGTCTGTTAGGCGCTGGGCTGCACAGCTGGAGATGAGCGGAGGGTGAGGGAGGGAAGCTTCCTCGGTATTTACAGCTGCTCATCACTGGCATCACTGCCTGAGCTCTACCTCCTGTCAGATCAGCAAGATAATTAGAGTCTCACAAGAATGCCTGCCTGTAACTGGGCATGCAAGGGATCTAGGTTGTGTACTCCTACGATAATCCAAGGCCTGATGACCTTATGGCAGAGGTGTGATGCACTTGAATCATCCCGAAATCATTCCCTCAACACTGTCTGTGGAAAAACTGTCTTCCATGAAACCAGTTCTTGGTGCCAAAAGGTTGGGAATCACTGATCTATAAAATATCTGGCAGAAATCATATTAATTATGACCATCTAGAGATGATCTGAATCTCCACATTTATGACAATAATTTCAAAATTTTGTCTTCATCTTTTGCAAAATGAATAGAAAGCAGAATTTGACTTTGATTTCATCTTCTTTGCTTATATTCTGGTAGGAATTTTTCTTTCTTTTTTTTTTTAAAGACAGAGCCTTAAGCTACTGCCCTGGGTAGAGGGCTGTGGTGTCACAACTCATTGCAACCTCCAACTCCTGGGCTTAAGCGATTCCCTTGCCTCAGCCTCCCCAGTAGCTGGGACTACAAGGCACCCACCACAACACTTGGCTGTTTTTTTTTTTTGGAGTCATTATTGTCGTTTGGCAGGCCTGGGCCAGATTTGAACCCGTCTGCTTTGGTGTATATGGCTGGTGCCTTAGCCGCTTAAGCTCCAGGTGCTATCCTCTGGTAGAAATATTAATAAAAAGTGAAAAAAATGAAATGGAAAAGAATCAAGTTAAATGTTCACTAAGCTACTAAAACAACAGTATCTTATGACACTATGCTGCAGAATCAAAATATGAAACATGAGGCAGTACAGGGAAGCAGAAGAGAGAACATGCTTTGGAATCAGATGGTCTTGGGTACTAATTCCTAATTTGTCACTAATAGTGACATAACACTGGGCAAATTGCTTATTAATTTGAAGTTGTTTCTTTATCTGTAAATAAAGAATCCCCCCCAAAGGCCTGGCATGGTGGCTCACACTTGTAATCCCAGTACTTGGAAGGCCGAGGGGGGTGGATTGCCTGAGCCAGAGTGAGACCCCATCTCTAAAAATAGCTAGGTGTTGTGGTGGGCGCCCGTATTCCCAGCTACTTGGGAGGCTGAGGCAAGAGGATCACTTGAGCCAGGTGTCCTCAAACTACGGCCCGCGGGCCACATGCAGCCCTCCTAGGACATTGATCTGGCCTGCTGGGTATTTTTGCCACCACTGTCTGTCCTGCTTAGCAGCCGACTTGTCCTGGGGCCCACAGTCCGGCCCTCCAATGGTCTGAGGGACAGTGAACTGGCCTCCTGTTTAAAAAGTTTGAAGACCCTTGACTTGAGCCCACGAGTTTGAGGGTGCAGTGAGCTATGACAGCACAGCACTCTACTGAAGGCGACAAAGTGAGACTGTCTCAAAAAAAAAAAATAAATCACCTTACCTTTCTCATAAATTCATTTAAAGGTTAAATGAAGTAAAATATGTCACATAATGTGTAATATATTCTAGATAAGTATTTTTCTTCTTTTCTTTCTTTACGGTTCTTTATGTCATTCAAGGGGATGGGGATAAGAAAATGTGAAAAGAAAGGTATGCTCATTTAAGAGAATAGAAGTGTAAGTGAGGTACCTAAAGGAACCATAATTGACAGTAAGAACTAGGGGAATTCTCTGAATGGCTGACTTCTCTGGGTTGTGGTCAGTCACAGAGAATTTGATTAAAGAAGGGAAATTGAAACTGAGGTCTGAAAGATGAGGACAGGCCAGACTCACAGTCAGAAAGGGGAAGAAGCCAGGTTTGGGAAAAAAGAACACAGTTGCAGATGATGAAAAGCAGTATGATCAAAAGTTCTGTTTAGAGGAAAAAGCATGTGTTTACAAAATATGTAAGGTGGTAAGGGGTACATTTGGCTAGATGAGAAGTTTAAGTCCGGAGGGGTAAATTTGTACTGGTTAACTCAAGATAAAAGGAAGAAAACTCAGTTTAAAAGTTTTATCTTAACAGCAACACGGAATCCTCAAAGCAAAGGAGCAGTAACCTGATCATGCATGTTTTTAAGATTAACTCATCAGCAATGTACAGGATAGCTAAAAAGGAGAACTATTTTAAAGTTTCGACTTGAAGCATTAGAAAAAAATGAAAAGGAAGAGAAAGTACAAGGGGAAGAAAATCACATCTTCTCTTTTCAAACAAGGTCATTTATCATCATTGTATATCAAGTAATAAGCAATGAAAACTACTCAAATATGCTAAAAGGTTTATTTATTTGCAAAACCTTTTATAGCACCTTGCAACAGAAAATAAAAGCTGTTAGACTGGCTTTTGAATCATAAAAGAACTATAATATCTAGTAATACATACCAAGAGCTAATACCTTGTGGTTTTCTCTAATTGTGCAAAACAAGTATATTACATTCAGTACTTTGCCCCCTTTTTTGCAGTTTTTGGCTGGGGCTGGGTTTGAACCCACCACCTCTGGCTTATGGGGCTGATGCCCTACTGCTTTGAGCCACAGGCACCGCCCCCAAACAAGTATATTACATTCAAAGTTGAAAACTGTCTTAGAATAACTTCTCACATTCAAGTTAAGACAACCAAGAACAGTAGAGATTAAGTGACTAGTTCTCATGATTAGATATGTTGGTAAGTGGCAGAAACAGAACTGGAATTTAACTTTTCACAACTACCTGCCAAACTTACACATGTCCCTTCTTTTCCTGTGCCTATGTTATTCCCCTAGCTGGAATATTTCATTATTTATTTATTTATTTACCGAGACAGATTCTCACTATGTTGCCCTCGGTAGAGTGCCATGGTGTCAGAGCTCATAGCAACTTCAAGTTCTTGGGCTTAAGTGATTGCCTTGCCTCAGCCTCCCAAGTAGCTGGCACTATAGTCACCCACCGCAACGCCCAGCCATATTTTTGTTGTAGTTGTCTTTGTTGTTTAGCAGGCCCAGGCCAGGTTTGACCTGCCAGCCCCAGTGTATGTGGCTGGCACCCTAACCACTGAGATAAATAGAGTTAATAGGCACTGAGCCTATTTGCTTAATTAATTATTACAGAATTTTCAAGATTCGATTCAAGTTTTACTTTTCTAAAGCCTGCTCAAGGTAGGTTAGTTCCTCCCTGCATCTCCTGCATACCTTTACGAGAAAACTGACCAAACTGTAATTATTTTTTACCTGTCTGTATCTACTAGAGAACCTGAAATACCTCAAAGCAGGAGCTATTTCTCTTTCCCTCTCTTTTTAATCTCCTTAACCTAGAGCAGAGCCTTACACAGAGATGGTATTTACTGATAAATGAAAGAAAGTAGCACCAGAACCATCTGAATAGGACTGACTTTACCAGACCCAGAGATCACTCTAGGTTCTAGACCCCTTTGTAACAATGAAAATACATTATAGCATTAGGAAGGTTGAGAACCACTGCTCTAGGATTTTGAGCCTATGATTTTTGAGTTGAATTGAGCTGTTTAAAAAGATGAGCTCCTAACATAAGGACACAGTGCTAAACACTAAGAATGCTGCAAAGATCACTAATATAATAGATTCTGTGCATAAGAAACTTAGTGGTACCATAAACAGAGAAATTGAAAGGAGTCACTTAGAAAG